AGGAAAAGGTTTGTATCATTCTCCACACACGGGATGGTAGGCCTGACATTTTGATTGCATAAAGGGAAGGGTTCTGCCTAGGGTGGCAATCTCATATCTTCGGTTTGAGAATAAAATTTACTCATTTCATAGGTATGAGAGAATGCCTAGTTTGTAATTCTGTGGTGGTTCAGCACGAGACAGGTATGCTGTTAGTCATCCAGTATTGTCATGTGCCTTTATAACATCATTTGGAACAGACAGTTGTTACTATGAAAATTTAATAGATGGGAATTTAAGGAACCACATTGATAGAAGATTCGTGATGTCAGAAATCTACATTTATTTTTACTCACCAGAAAGTTGCCCTTATTGTCTTGTTTCTGAACCCCTCAGGAACCTTCTCTGTTTTCTGAGCTTTGCTGGTACTCAAGGAATGCTTACCACATGCTTGGTACCACATGCTACCTAACCAGTACTGACAGGAACAGACATATGTCAGGGTGTGTTTCCTTGTGCAATCTTACTTCCATCTTCCCAGTGAAGCAGATCTTCACATGCTATCTTTCATTTCATGTTTCACCTTGTATGAATGAATCGCTACTTATTAAAGGAAAATAAAGAGGAAAAGATTCTTTGGCCTCAGTGTTCTAGGAGGATCAGGCAGGTTTATTATTTGAACATAGATTTTCATGTTTCACATATAATAGCACAGTGATTAAAACAAACAAATGCAACAAGGCTCAGATGCACAAACTCACTGTCTGCTGATCAGCACTCATGTGCCAGCAAGTCCATCCAACGAGGCCCTGGGGTTAGAAGAGAACGACTGGAGCTTGAGGGCCTGTTAGCTTCCTAGCATTAGAAGCTACTGATTTTATGCAACCTCACTAACAGAAACACATACAGATGTGGGATACCTACAAAGATAGAAAGCAGCACCTGATACAAAGCACACAGGTTCTCATAAAGCTTAAAATGTTGGACTCTGGTACCTCGGTCTCTTCTGGATTTTCCCAAGAAAGGGCAACTTCTTCCTTTTTAAGGATGGAGTACTCTAATCTTTGCACACTGATCAGTAGTTCTGTATTGTTCAGTGATTTTGTTATTCGCTGTGAGTAATACTTTAGAGGCACTTACATGAGATGGTCTATTATATGACCGGATTGCCTCCAATTCTAGTATGCATTTGAAGTTCTTCCCAAATGCCAAGTCTGGAAAAATCACAGCTACAAAGCAGAGCATAATGGTTGACACTGATTGGCATACTATGAATAGCTGCCTGCCTGACCAAAGTACAAAAATGATAACTATAAATGACAGTTGGAATATTTATCTGGAATTAGCACTTACATTTCTCATAGTAAGGCACTACATTATTGTTATAAAAGTACAACTTTATGCAAGATCAAACTTCTATTCTCAAGTCTGAAAGAGTCTTGATTTTTCAAATTAAGTTACAGGGTTATAGCTCTATTCTTGAATGTGCCTGCAGATGTTATCTTAGCTCCACTGAGTATATTGGTGATTGTCTCTTCCCTAAAATTCTTTGTGATTCAGTAACCAGGCATCCCTGTGACAGAAATCCCCACGAGTCCAATATCATAGTCTGTCCAAAACACAGTGGTATTAACAGAAAGCACATTTCACAGCGACTTTCAATTAAATAGCCAGTCAAGGAGACTGAATTCATGGTTCTCATTTTCATAAAGCATTGTAGTAACAGATGCTCTAAGTATAAGATTAAGTTGTAAAGCCTCCTCAGGCACCAGAAATTCAAAATCACATTTTAAGAGGTGGTGATCAGAAAAAACTTGAACAGGGACTTTGCACTTTCCCATCCGGAAAATGTGAAACCTATAGTAGGTAACTAAGTATTTGCATGACAGAAGAGAGAATATGGGAAACATGACAATAGCCTGTTCACAAAAATACTCCCTGACTCTCAGGTCTTTTACCGATTTTATTGGGGAGAAATAGTAAATAGGCATCTAGCCTGAGGGTTAAATCATGAAACCTGCAGAGAGACAGGCACCTTACTTTAGTCTACAGGAAAATTTTGAAGAGTCTTCTGCCAAACTAAGTATGTGCTGTCACCAGCTGGATTGTTTCCCATGCTTCTCAGTGCCCTACTGCATATTCCTGCAGTCTACCCTGTGTTGGTATTAGCAGCTGTGTGGCTGTAAGGTAAAAACAGAACAGCTTGCTTACTCACATTCTGAAAAAGAAAAAAAATAATAGTTTTCAGCCAGACAGCAAGCTGATCCATTTTGTGGAGCTGCACAATCACCAGAACCACCTGCATAACTGAAGAGAGAACACATACTGGAGGATGTGGGTAATACCAACAACACTTGGGGCAGCAAAATCTTTATCCAGCTGAAACCATCCTTGAGAGATGAACAATCTTAAAATATAACCTTGTCTTCAGCACTTCACTATTAGTTAATTGTTCCTTGTTCATTATAGTTGCTTTTTGTGGATTTTATTACCACTGCTGTAACTATGAGTCTTGGAGGTCAAGTCATGGGAATAAGGATGGTATGATACATACTCTTGATGCATACTCTCCCAGGAAACAAGTACAGTCAAATTACCTTGGAGCTGTTTGCTGCTGCTCAGAAGTTATAAACCCCATAGCAGAGCTGATGGAATGGGGTGCAGGCATTGCTATTCTCAGTGCAAGATGGAGGTCAGAGAGGTTAAACTGCTGGATCTGGCATGAAGCACACCCTGGTCTGCCAGTCCTGGTATCGGAACAGTAATCTCTAGGAAAGAAACATAGCAGGCAGGAAGACGTAGCACTGCAGAAATCAGTTAAAAGCTGATAAAAACTCTTAAGCTTATGGGACAAAGTGATGTTACCCTGAAAAACCCATTTTGGGGCTAGCACTGTCACTAAGCAGTAACAAAAACTGTCATAACTCTTGCTGAGAAGTGAGACCACAGGACTTTTTGTGTTGACAGATTTGTAATAATGGATACAGATTGAACTGAAATAGCTACAGTTCATTAACACTGAAGCTACTCCAACATAATTTATTTTCTACTTTATAACATACAAATTAGTCTTCAGTAACAACCAAATTAGCAAAACACACTTGACTGCATATGAATTAAACTTGTCTATAATACTTTTTACATCCACTCTTTTAATTTATAGTATTTTACTACATCCATTACTGTAAATCTTTCAGAAAAAAACCACATAACTAAAGAACTGGTTACACAGGAAAAGTAGGAAACTCTCAGTTCTACATTGTTCCTCAATGCTCAGGAAAAGTGCTACAGATAAAAATATTAATTTACGAGAAGTTTCAGTTCCTTTATACTTCTCTATGTATCAGCCTGCCAATCCAACTATAATTCTCACAGATGATCTATGATAATTTGTCTTGGAATTTATCTCATAACAAAGACTATGCAGGAGCAGTACTGTGAGCAAGCATAAGCATTCTTATTTTCAAATAGCCTGTCGGATTGTATTTAATAAATAACCACATAAACCATTAAGCATCTACTTAAGAACAATAAGCATTCATGATCCAGCTAAGTGTAATTCTAAATCTGTATTATGGCGATACTGGGAGCTACTGCTTGAGTAATTATCCCACCTTTAAGAATTCAAACATGCAGAACTGGGATCCTCTCTGCCAAATACCACTTGACAAAATAATACAACACAGTCTACATCATGTAGATGTAGACATCATGTAGACTGTGTATGAATCATGTATGAAATAAACTTCAGAAAGAAAATTAACCAACTTTTGAACTTGGATGGGTGTAGTCAGAATGTGTCAAGAAAGCTGTTATGACAGGTCTGCTGACAGCAAAGAAAGCAAAATTAATATAGAGAAAACATTTAGAAAACAAACTCCACATTTGAAGAAAGTATAAAGCACCATTAATGGCAGCAGAACAGGAAAAACACCACTAGGATTCTTCTGATTATAGAGGAGGGAGGTAGGAAAAGCAGCATACCTTTACAGGGAAGAAGGCTTTAGACAGACCAGAGAATGCTTTACAAAATGCTGCAGTTTGCAGCGAGTGTAAGCTATGCATCTATTTGGTGTGGAGGTGATTTTTGAAATTTTTGTGAAATGGCATCAGTAGTATGCAACACTGACCCTTAACAAAAGTCATCCTAAAATGTAATTTAAGCCACAGATGAAATTACTTTGGCATGCAGCAGGAGTGAGGGGCAGGAAGGCATGCAGGAGAATTTGGGTTACAAATGAAAACAACTTGCTGAAAAACCCTATTTATCCCACAAAGAAGAAGGAGTCCTGAAGAGAATCTGGTTTGTCAAGGTCCCACAAAACAACAGAGAAAATATACCACAATTTAAGTGAAGGCCATGAGCAAAAGGAATGTGGTAACAGAACCTGTGAAAATTAACATGAAGGCAAACATTCTTCAGACTTTCAAACAATAAAACATCCAGGACCTAAAATTCTATGTGAGAGAAATTAGTTTATATTTCTCACTTCAGTTTTGCAATTACAATCTTATCTAACATTATGATTGATTCATATATTATGAAATACTACTCTAACCTGTAAATGTCTATATATATATATATAATTTAATTTCTTTTAGAAGAAATAAATCAATAGGAAAAAAATTACAAAACGCTGTCAATTTTTGACAAAAAGCTCATTTGTATCTGAGACTATTCACATTTGTGAATTCAAGTTACTGAACCTTCAATAGAGAAGTATCTTAAACATTTGAAACTTGAAACAATAAAAAGCCAAAAAATTAAAGTGACAGAGTATCACGATGCATTTTTCCTGTTCAGTTACCCTGACATTCCATGATGACTAATGCAATCTGCAAATGCAGTCATCAGATCAGACATAAGCAATGTTGTAAATTTAATGGAACTTACGTGGAGGAACAAACTTTTGGCAAGAGTTTCTACTTGATATTTATCTTTCTTAAAAAAATTAATGTGTCTGCTAAGCATAATAGAACACCAATAGTAACATTTAAAGAAATATTTTTAAGACAAAATATTAAAGCATTTTATTTTTTTATTCAGAGTTCTGCCCATAACATCAGAATGGTACATTCTTAATATTATAATACACTGTCAAATTAAAAATATATCAAAATAATTTACAAAAATTAACCTGTTCATTTATAACTAATTCATCATAACAAAACAACCTACATTGTCAAATCACATGGATTAGTATCTACATCTCGTGGAGACAAGTAATTAAGACAGAATCATTAAGGTTGGAAAAGACTTCCAAGATCAAGTCCAACCTTTGACCAAATACCATCATGCCAACTAAACTGTAGCACTATGCCATATCCAGCCATTTATGGAACACTTGCAGTGTTGTGGTGGTTACTCCACCACTTCCCTGGGCAGCCCATTCCAATGCCTGAGCACCCCCTCTCTGAAAATATTCTTCCAGATCTTCAAATACCTATGGAACAATCCTCATGATCCTGGAGTTCTATTACAAATGAATCCTTCTGTCTCTAGACACAGAAAGTAACAAAACCCAAAACTGTAGGTAACTGTCATACTCTAGGTATTCAACTGCTCCTTTGCAGGGCTAAATGTGCTACAGGAAAGGGCAAGTGCACAGCATATTAGTGACAAAGAAATCACTGTGACTATGATTCATAACTTAACTTCCACTACAGAAACCAGGTGACAGGAAGATTTCCAATTGTCTTCACATCCAGAGTCAAACAATACTCCTTGAAGGTTTGCACTACCAGGGATGCTTGCATGTTCTCTCTATTCAAATGTATTCTCAGCTGTTGTGAAACAAGTCAGAATGGTCCATAAGGAGATGCCTCTTATTTCTTCATTAAGGCTTTGAAATAGTCTCCACTACTCTTCAACCCCCTTTCCTTGCTTGTCGGCATTTTTACGCAATTTTATTTTCAAGAGAAAAGAAAACCTAGACTAAATCTTAGAAAGAGAATTAAGTAGTCTCAAAATAAGTCTCCTCTGTAGAGTCATAGTTCCAGCCCTTTACTCGAGATTTCTGACAAATATGTTTTTAAATGGCAAAGCAAAGGTCCTGTTCAATGGTTACTATTCATTACTTTTAGCTACTCAGTCCTCAGGAAAACAAACAGACCATATAAGCCATTAGATGCTTGAAACAACCATTTTAAAAAGTAACTCCTAGGGAACCTTAGCACTTTCCTCTTCTAAACTGAGATGCTAATAGGACAAAAGAAATTAAATGCAATCTACTACTTGCTCAGTTGGTCGACTTAGCAAAGGGTTAGAAACCATGAAGTGAAACTGAGTGAATCCTGGAATTTTATTACATGCAGCACCTAGGAAAGGAAGAAAAAAAAATTATAACATGCTACATTTGGGATTAGTGTCTCTGTCATTGTATTTTATCATCTAAAGACCCAGTTACAAATTCTACTACAATGGTGTAATTATTCTTTTACAATCTGTTTAACCCAAGACATCTTGAAGGTATTTAAGTTAAAATACAGTACTACTGGCTGCTGTAGTGCAATTAATGCCCTTATAATACAATTCAAAAAAGTAATGCAAGTTAGGAAAATATCTCTCTCTTTCAGTCCTGATTAATTTAATGAGTTCCTTCAACACTAATCTCTTAAACACAGAACTATGGGAAGTAAGAGATCAAAGAACAGCAATAAGCAGTCTAACTAAATAATCCACGTTGATTAGCAAATTGTGCTTCATACTGATCTAAGAGTTCACTAATGAGATGCCTGGCACAATGACTGCTCTTGGAAAGCTTTGAAGCCATGCTTAACAGTGACGTTCTCCCTCCCTTATGCCACATCTAGGGAAAGCATAAGAATTCTTTAAAACCTTCAAATTAATCATATGCAGTCCTGGAAAACACATCAAGGTTGTAAATATTTTTGATTGTTCCTAAGCCTTCCATAAATTTTGTGTAAATCCAAGACATCAAAATGCAAAGGAAAATTACAGTATCCCCAGTTCGCACTAGGACATAACTGCCCTGGTAACCAGCATTTAGTACTACAAATGGCCAGTATTACTGCAGTCCTCAAAGAATAAAGACTTCTGCTTTAAAATCCACCTTCTGTGATCTAGCAAGGGTTAAGCACCTTTACCTGCAAAGCAAAATACATACCATAACTTCCAGTTGTATTGGCACAAATGATAGCACCAAAGAACTTTGGAGCATACTTCTGGATTCTGGAAATGACTTTCTGACAGGCTACTGTTGGGTCTGTTCCCATCCTCATATATTCCACAGCTTGATAACTAAAAAAAAAAACCGACCCCATACCCAGACAGTTAGCCATACTCAGGTTATATATTTTAAAATACCACTGAAGAGACCTTGGTTTCTTTGAATAATGAAAACACACAGTAAGTAATTTTTAGGCCATCTTGTATTGGCAATTATTATTCAAGTTCTACATAAAAAGTCATTAAAAGCAGGACTGAAAGGAATTGCAAGATGTCATCTATACCATCTATTGTTCTATGGTAGGACCAAGCCAAGAGATAGCTGATCATTTGCAGAAGAGGCTAAGCAAAAGATTAACAGCTTCTTTGCATTCTTCAACTAAAGAGTTAGTGGGTTCTATTTTTCATTGAGTTTGACATTAGAAGTGATCACGAGTTTTCAAAAAGGCTAATGTCAAGAAAACTTTTTGAAGAAAACTGATCTCCAATATTACCTTACTAATAAATTATTGATTTCAGTAACCATTAAAAAAAACTCTGAAAACACCAAAACTGACACGTTTTCTTTATTTTATGAATATGAAGGTACAATGTTTTGATCAAGACTTTGAGACACTTTTAAATTTTTTGCAAACTTAAGTTGAAAAAAAATCTTAGTTTAAATGAAAGAGAATCAAAATGAACTTTCTTTTTATCTACAGTATCATTAGACAAATGACTATATGGGAAACGCTTGAGATTAATCAGTTGCATTTCAAAAATGTCCTCAGAGGTAAAAAATTAGTTTTGTTGCCATTTTCTTTCAGAACCTGAAGATTAAATGACAACATCTGATATAACTTACAAGCAAACAACATTAGATTGCTTTGATGAAAGACGCACGTACCAACACCAACTCCTGCTACACTAAGAGATATACAGACAGCATTACCTACAGGTGTTATCAAAGTACTGCAGAAAAGAACTTCTCTTGCATTTTAGACTTCCTATTATCTTTGATTTATTCTAACAATCAAATAAGTTCAACTTATCTGAAAGATAACTGACCGAATATAAAGCTATATTTCACAGAGGTCTCTTCACTAATCAAAAACTCAGTAAGAAATTACTATCGCAAAGAAGGCAGACACCAAATATTAGCAATTTCGCCCTTTATTTGGCACTTCCTTCACTTCTGGCAGGTCAATTTTAGTCTTTGTTTCCATGTGGGAATATCTAAGTAACATGGATTTAGTAAAAATCTTTATCTACAAGGAAGCAGTGATTAACCATCTAGGCTGAGTTGTTTTCTAAAACCCACTGGTGCTAACACAAAATGCTTTTAAGCGTTACAGCCAAATACTTCAGGCTGCTAAAGTGTAATATCAGCTTTTATTGACTAAGCTCATGGTGCAGCTCAACTAACTACTGCTGTTGTTATCCGCCATGACAGGATAGATAATTTACTTCAAGACTGGCTTGGAACAGCTTGAATTTCATTGAGGACATTTGTGAATATGCAATAGCTAGCAGGCATTCTTAGCTGCCAGAGTTTCAGAAAAAGCACCTGAGCTTCTATATAGTCCTTCAAGCATCACAGCCCATTATGTTCAGCATGGATTTCCATAACTCATTCCTGAGATCGACCCACAAGGATGACTCTCAAGACTCCGTGATGAAAACAGCCATATTTTACACAGTTTATAGAACCACGATGATAGCACTAAAACACCTCTTTCAGTTTCAAATTAGATGCAATTACATAGGATTGTTACGGTGACACCTCCCCACCTGAATAATTTGAGACCCACGCCTCCTCCTCTCTACAATTTATGATACTTATTTCCCACATAATAAAACACTGGAGGAGAAAGCTAATCAGTTCTGTTAAAAAGCATATAGGTTGGAAATATTACCTTCTGCCTGTTTGCTCACAGCTTGGCAGCATTAAGGGATCTGTCATCAAGATATTTGTCTCTTCTTTTAAGACACATTATAACAATGACTTAATACTGCTACTGTTCTTTCCTCTTCCACTCCTTCCTCTACTCCCACTTCAGCAGCAAGTTACAGTGTCTTTTTAATCAGTTACTTCATTTGCCGAGTCTACATTTTGCTGCGAAAAGCTGGCAAAGTCTGCCCTAAGGACAAACCTGGGTAAGAAGCGCATCATAATGTCACCATCCCCAGTGGCTGCAGCTCCTCCAGCTGTACTGTCCGCATAAGATCCTGCTCCAGCTATCGGAGAATCTCCAACACGGCTGTAGTGAACAATGGAAAATAAAAACCCAACTTTGTCAGCCTTACTGCCTCCAGCTGACTTTAGCGTCAAACCCACAGGAGAACAGAACAGGTAAAAAGGTCACTCCACAGCAGTCAGAAGTCTTATCTTAAAACTACCAATATGAGTGATCTGTGATAACCTGACTGACCTGAGGCTTAATCCACCTCCTATGCACAACTGTTTGTTATTATACTGACTATAACTAGGCCAGTGAGGTTTAGCCTGTGGGCAACAGTAAGCAGCTGGGGACATTAATATGTTCAATAACTTGTTGCTAAATCCCGAAGTTGTCTGACTTGGTTAACAGAAAAGAATTCTAACTGGGTAAAAAAAAGTATCTCAAGGATAAAATACTAGCCTGGGGCTCTGATTTTATGTACATTTCTTTGGAGACTGTGCACCTCTCCAAAATGCTTATTTGTCTCTGGTGCCTTGCCTTATAAGTTGTCTCAAAACTGTGCCAGTTGTTTGTGTATTAATTAATTAATTCATTCATTCATTCACCAGTATGGTGAATTAAGCCAGCTGAAAAACAAGCATTCCCTCAAACACACACAAATCATTTTGCAACTCAATCAGCATTAGGATTTATGGCAGTGCACAGAAATAAGTAAGGCCATTTTGTGATCTTAATGTTAATGTTTTACAACAGCATGGCAAGCTTAACATAGGAACAAGGTGGAGAAAAAACTTTTTTGTAAAACCAGAGATACCAACCCCGGAATTTTGTGGACTGCACCATTAGTCGATGTCCCAGAAACAACGGTTCCACTCACACCAATTATAACCATACCTAAGATTTTCAACAGGATGAAACATATTCAGAAACATTCCTAAAAAATTTATTTAATTAGTACTATGCTTATAAAAAGAACCACAATGCACAGACTATTCAAATTACTGATATACTGAAATACAAGAGTTGTACTCAAGGAAAACATGTTCTTTTTAAAAGACATTTGGAAACTTTTAGGATGTATTACAAGAGCTCAAAAAAGAATGTAAAATAGTGAGTGCCACACTGTTCAGAGCTGGATGTTACTTCTGCCCAAGCACTGCCTCCTGATATACATCTATGTTAAGCAGTAGAAAAAAAGGACCTGGTGTCACTACATCAAGCACCAAGGAAATTATAAATAGTGCTTGAAGGAAATTAAAAAAAAAAATCAAAAGGATGAGCTTAAATTTGGCAGATGGTGACATACTGACTACCAAAGTAACTTGAATTACATGACAGGCAACCAAATGGATGGATAAGCCTACCCCTTGCTAATTTTGTGCTGATAAGAAAGCCACTGCCTCATACAAGAGAAGTTTAGATTGTCACTTGGAACAGGATTTGGGATCAGCTGCTTCTCCATATAGCCAGAATTCACCTCCACAGAGCAAGAGAGGGCATAAATTGCTGCTAGCATAAAACTGCAATACAAAGTGAGAGCCAAGGAGTAGAATGTGATGAGCTGAATTCTGGTTCTCTGACCTCAACAGGCAGTACCTACTTCTTACACAAGAGTTTCCTGACCAGTAGAAGCTAAAAGCATAGAGGCACTGACTCTCTGTCCTATGTAAAAAGACTGGAAGGACATTAGATCCTTCCAATGTCTTAAATGCATTATGAATGAAGACTCTTCTCAAAATGTGCTAGTCACACAGACATTTCATATATAAAACAATGAGGTGGGAGAACTTGAAATACTAATACAAAACACTGTCGTTTACTACAAAACAGCTTACAACTACTTAATGATACATCAGTTCTTGAGTTGTATTTACCAGATTCCCCTCTCCTGACACTCCACAATTTCTGAGTTTTCCAGCACTAATTAAAGACTGTTTACCCCAGTAAAGTAAACCAGCTATCAGCTTAAGAATCTGGGGGGTTGTCCACCTTCTGGAGAATATTAATTGGTTATTAGCAGCGTGAACTAGAAGCAAAGAAAAAAGATTCACACTTGAAATAACTTGTTAATTCTTGGTATTGCAAATACCATCAGGCGAAAAGTTCTGCATTACTGAGGAAAATCCAAACTAAACCAAAAAGTGCTAGTTTCAAGACTACACAGTAAAAAGCTTTAAAAGACATGAATCTGTAACTGCTCTACTCCTTTGTCTGATCTGCTCCTTAACCAGCTTATAGGCTTAGCAATTAACAGTCCTCAATCAGTAAACTCTTAGAAGTTTTTGGGACTACTACTGCTAGCCTGTTTTAAGCATAGTAATTTCTGGAGAAGTTTACTGATTTAGTCTAAAGCCAGAACAGAAGACAAATGAAAGCAAACTTTGTTCTAAAAATTTCAGGAGTGTTTGACAAACACTGCTTTTAGTTGGCAACAGGACTACCTGTTTACTCATTTCTTCCACCACTGTAATGCCTTCTAAGTTGCTCTGAAAGCAACACCATAATCAAGATAAAAATAATTATTTTTAATCTTAATCAGTTTTCTAAGCATCCATAGCTGTCCAAGAATTATGCCAAGGTATCTGCGAGAAACGTAGTAGGATGATGAACAAGAGCTAAGGGCAAATATGAAGCAAGTGGCTGTGCAGCCAGTGCTGGAAAAAAAAGAGAAACAAATCTTACTTTTAGGCACTCCATCCTAACACATAAGTAAAAGAATCTTGAAACCACTATAAACAGGAAATAATTACTATATGAAATACTTTTCTTTAAAATTACTATGATTTAATCTGTAGAGGAATGAGAAAAAAATCAGCATCAGGGTTACCAAAAGTTGTTACCAATAGTATCATGGTTCTGAACACTTCTTTGTGAGACGGTCTGTTCTTCTTTATAAGTTACTTTTCCAGGCCGCTTATATGGTCCACAGGATTTTGAAGAGTCTGGTACCACATTCTGTAAATATTTTTTGATTTGCATGAATAATACATTATACTTCAATACCAATAAATTTAAAAATACTACAATCAATACCTATAATCTGCCATACAGGATGCCCAATACTTAAAACATACAGTTGTACTGAAATGCCACAAATTGTTTTGCTTAAAGACTGATTTCTGGTATAATATAGTAAAAAGGTTTTCCTACTAGAAAGTTATGTTGTTAAAATTAAAGATTTTCCCTTGCTTAACTGAGTGGTCAAAAAAAAAAAAAAAGTCAGCTCATTCTTCAATGACATGAAGAAAATTTTCAAGTCAAAAAAACAACCAGACAAAATGAGTTTGTTATACTAATGTCAAGATATTGTCAAGTCAGCATCATACTCAAGATATTTTCCCAACTGAAAATATCTTGAAAATTAAAAAAAATCAAAACTAAATTAAACTGGTTCAGCAATGCAGCATTCCATATTCAAGAAACAATGAATACAGTGTACAAACATCTAGAAATCTGTAACATCCAAAGCAAAAAAAACCCCTCCAACCAGCCAACCTCGCCACAGCAGGCAAATTTAATGGACAGCTGCACTAATCTGATGTATTCACAGGTCTGCATGAAGCCTCACAACTAACTATTTAGAGACCTTAATTACTCCTGTAAAATTCTCTTTCAGAAATTTATACATGCATCAAAAAATACACACACTGCTGTGTTTAGCTTGAGAAGTCCTGTCCCAATTAAGAACTGGAAAAAAAAATAATTGCTACACCAAAACACTACTGCAGCAAGGTCAAACCCAGCAGGATCTAAGAAATAAGAACTAGACACATACAATTCCCAAGTCTACCAAATGCTTGGTAATTCCAAGCCTTTTCTGTTTAATATGCAAAACTTCTTTTTCTTCACATGTCAAGTGTAACTTCAATATAAGCTCAAAGGAAGAGGCAATTGCTGCATTAGTGACTTTCTAAACCCCCTCTTCACTGCCACCGCTGCACTGTACCTTCCAGTAGTTTGGCTGACAGCTTTGATTAAGCCACTCTGAATACAGCGAAAGTGATTTCTGGGTTGTTAAATCTTCGTATGGAAACCCCATTCTTACAGCAAACAGGGAGGCTTGAAAAGCAAGAACAAAACAAAAAAAACACATTGATTTATTCACAGATTTATACATTTTATGATAATACATTCATGTTACGCTTTTTAGAAATCAAAAAATTCTACATCCTTTATGGAGACGAGAAATAAGCCTTCAGGGAGCAGTATCAGCCATTAGAGTGATGTACAACTGCAGTAGCAAACCCTCCCTTCATTGGCAATATCAAATTTCTTCAATTCACTATAACTATGTTAATACATATAAGTTTTACCATTGAAAGAGAAACAAATTCAATTCTGTTAATCAACTGGACACAAATAAACTGTAGGAAGAGTGGTCTGGGCTGTATGGGTCACAGAAATATTTAAGTAAATGATACAAATATATTTGCCTTAAAAAGCTAGTCTTTTATAAAATGTAAGTAACCCAGCAGCACAACATTTGCCATTAAAACACTGATACTTGAAGAAAGCAATCCACCAGCTTACATCATATTACACTTCTTCCTTGCAGCTTGAAAAGTGACAGCTTGTTTTGAAAATTAATATAGTATGAGCCAAGGGAGCAAAAGAAATACCAACACAAGCAATGAAAGAATGCTACACTTCTAAGAGTAACTTTTATCGTTAGGCAAAGGGAAAAGAAAAAAGATCAACTGTTCTTTCATCTTTTAGCTGAAAATACCTTTGATACTAACCAGTAACAGATACTGTTGCTAGGTTCTGATGCCTGAGTTTATATTATCAATCCTTGATAATAACGTCACTATAATATACAGCTGAACAAGCTTATCTACTCCAAGAATTAAGAGAAGCCTTGAATTATTTCTGGACAGCTTTTCTATGTTTTTCTTAAAAACTGACACAATTAAAGTTCCTTAGCACTCAGAGGAAAACTGACAGCTTCAATTAAATAGATATTTATTTTCCCATTTCTAGAACAAATAGGTAGGGTTTAGGGTTTTTTTGTTTTTTTCTTTTTAGGATAAAATTGTGTTTCTGTATGTTTGTCAGGAATTCTTTCATAACTTTTGAAGCATTGTTTCTACTCCAGAAAGCAGAGTTGGTCGTTTTTACTTTCTGAATTTTTTACTTGGATTATGGTTTAAATATTGATAGGAAAAAAAGAGAAAAAGGTCAGGCACACTGACACTGAAACTTCCCTATCTATTAGAGACAAACAAGAAAATTTCTTGGCAGACAATAACCAAAATAGAGGGTTTTTTCCCTCACTTGTAATCCTCCTACACTGAATATCCCTCACCACATTCAGTCTACATTGATATACATGTGCTTTATTGATTGTTTGCTAAGACTCACCCCTAAAGAATTAAGACAAAAACCAGCTTTTAACAATGCAAGAATTGGTGAGTGTAGTTATCTGTATCTGTTCAATGAAAGCTACACCACTACCATGAAGTAGAACCCAAGGATCTACAGGGTGGTTAGCCTCTCCATGATCACTGAGAAGAAAATGGAAAAACTAAGCCTGGAAATAATATCTGAGCACATCAAGGACAAACAGATGACTAGAAAATTAACGCATGCCACAGTTTGCTTCCTCCTCCTCTCCAGTGTCAACCACTCATAAAAATGCAATTTTAGGAGGTACAAAGACTTCTCTGGATTATATTGTTAAGTATGTTCAAATAAAAGTGCCATTTAGTTATTGGGAGAAAAATAAGGAATAACCTCAGCAATTTTGTATCTTGAATAAAAAAATGCCTGCAGAGACTATATGCATTTATATGAAAAGAGTTTACTATTCTAGCTAGCTCTTCTGGTGAAAATGTAAATATTTTTATTTAGAAAATAAACTGTTCTTTATCTCACATGCATTTTTTAAGATTCAAATGTATCAATCTTCACCTGATGAAGACAACTACAGTTTCTTTTATCCAAGCTCCAATTTCCACAGAAAATACACTTCTTCACAAGAAATATTCTTCCTCAATTTCTCCACTGCTTTGATTAATTCACTAACGTTAAACATCATCTCCAATTTTTACTCAGATAAATCTTTGGCTTTTCTGTCTTTCTTTTGCCACTACTGATAGACAGTTTCTTCTGAGGAAGTTCTCACTGGCAGCAAGGACTCAGCATAACAACCTTGTCCACATGCCTCCATTATGCAAAGACCTATTTCTTAGGTTGGAAAACATATTTTAGATCAGCACTTTAATTCTTCTGCTTCTTCACTTTCATTATCTTTTCTGCTAATTCTACTGATCAAAGTTTAAGAATATTTTGGTAACTAACAACGATGGGGAAATGAGTATTATGAGTATTTCTTCCTCTGCTTTTAACACCTGACCAATTTCTTTTTCTGCATCACCTGTGAAATTTCTCTTAGTCCTCTTCTCAAATTAAACAGAATCTGCACGTCTCTCTTTTCAAACACGTCAAACAGCGTCCTCCCAAGATCGCATCAAAAAACTGCTGTTGCACTTATTTCTGTACACACTAATTTCTTCGAGAATCTTTTATCTTTTCTTATCAATTTCAAAGCACTTGAATCACCATTAATGCTCAGATGTCAACTTCCACACTTATCTCCAAATTTCCTTCTGAGCAGGTGCGTACATTTTCAAAGTCCTTAACTGTGAGCCAAGAAACCTGCTCACTACTCACACACCTCCCTGGAAGGTACATCTCTTTTTGAAACTGGTATTACTCTACCAACAGCAGCCTGTATTTAAAAAGCTCAACCTCCAGTTTGCTATTGCTCTTTTGCTGTGCCTAAGAGTAGAGCCTCTAATGTAATTTTTTTCATTCAAGTTCTCACTAATATTTTTAAACTATGAAATGCAATAATCATGCTCAAAATATACCAAAGTAGTAAAATGTAACTGCAGTGTCTATTAATTCTGCCATTCCTTAGAAAAAGTTATTCCATGGTTTTAAATGCAACATTTACATCTAACAGTTTCCATATTGTCTTTTAATAAATCATCTTTGAAAACTCAGATATCAGTGATATTAGCAAAGCCTTGGGATTGCAAGTTAATATTTGCAGTTAGGCTGGTGGGAAAACCATAAAACTATGCTTTTTTCTTCTAAAAATAAACCTATTTCATACACATGGAATGAGCAAATAAACACTTCTGAATTATTTGACTAAATTGATCTTATTGTCAAGTAATTCTTCCACCTATATAACCAAGATTAAAACATGGCAATTTTAGCAGGAAGTGTTTTAGACAAGGGTATGGCTTGGAAACAGTTAAAGGAATAATTACCTGACTCTCCCACTAATAATGTATGCTTAGTGTATTCAATGACCTTTCGTGCTACACCAATTGCATTTTTTACACGTCTGAGATCCGCAACAGCCCCAACTTCCATAGTGTTGCTGGAAACAGAAAATATTTAAAACTTATTAAAAATACATGAATAATTGCACATCTTTTTATTAGACAAGATCTGTTCTCATCCAAATTGAAAAGTTTGCTCCTTTAACATAATGCTTTAATTGTTCTATGCCATAGACTGATGGCATCACACTAGTAGGGAAAAAATTCCTACCTATATTGTTTCCTTTCACAGGCATGGAGATGTTGCTCAAGTAACAATAACTCCATCTACAGTAATATTTTCAGTAAAATAACTATTTTGTAACATAAACTCATAACATGAACAACACACTTGCAATTACTCTTTAACCAGGACAGCTTTAAATAGCAAATAAATTACAGAAGACAACTCCTCCAGAAGGGAAATATTTATGGACTGAATATAAAGGGAAAGCTAACAATGCTACAAACCATCTGCTTTGCAACTTCTATATCTAGAACGGAATTACCGCACTACATATGAAGATTCATAACCTACTCTTCCACCAGTCAGTATTTTTCCTAGTTCCACAAGTTAACATATAACTTGTCCCATAGTGAGCCCCAAAGCAACAAGATCCTGTAACAACTCTTAAATGTGCTAATATAGGGATCATTCTCTCCTCCATGTAGTTTCCTTACCCATCCATAATCATTGCGTCCAGAGTTGTTTCTCCACTTTCATCTGGGCTTCCTCCGTATCCCACACTCCCATCGCACTGATCAACCTCACACTGCCCACAGCCTCTCTCAACTGCATCCAGCTCAGAACCTCCTGACTCCAGTACTCTCCAAGCTATAATCAACACAAATCATTAAATGTCACCAGGGAAAACAGTCTCCACTACTACTTTAAAGAATGTTTTAAAGACGGACACAATGCAGATGCACTGCATAAGCGGATAAACAAAAGTAAACCGTAACTTACAGATGAAATAAAGTCAAAATATAAATATAACTGAAAGAATGTAAAGCATCACTTTTTTTAAATATTGTTTTTCTTTCATCTGTTTAGTGTTTCTGACTGAGAAACAAAGCTTTTCTTCTGTTATTTACTAACAACTATCACAACTTCTATACATCAAATAACCTTCTGTGCCCAGAACCAATAATTACTTTATCACTGCTTGTTTAAAGCCTTCTGGGAGGAGAGAGAAGGGGAAACAAAACTTTCATCTTAGAAAAAAAAAAAAAAGACCAAAAAAAAAAAGCAGCCCTCAAAAGCTTCATATGAGAATAGTAAGTGTCCAGCTGCAGAATAAAAAGATCTAAATCTATATCAGTAATTACATAACCACGAAACTAAAGTGGAAATGGTATATAAGAAATTAGTCTCCGTTCTCCTGTCCAAACCTTAGTCTTCTATTCTTTAGAATCTAGATCACGGTGCAGTTTTGTAAGACATTACAGACATGCCAAACGACACGGCTTGAATATGCTGAGCCTGAAGGCATTGCACATATGAGATTTCACAAGGTTGGACCCAGGCAAAACTTTCCAAGGCACAAAAGCTTGCTGGCACTGATAGTTGCTGTCCTACTTCCTCCTTGTGCTCGCTCTGGTGCTACATCATCTAACAGACCCAGCATAGGGGAGGCAGCAAATGCACACAGCTCTTTTTTGCAGCAATAAACCATCCCAAGAAGCCTTACCATCACAAATGCCACATGCAACTGCATAAGCTTCCTGCACCAGGGAAAAAGTAAGACTTAATGCCATGCATCCAACTCCACATATGATTGTCTTTTATTACAAATTTCAGTGTGAGGAGTATTGCTCCAATTCCTATTACCTTTATTGCTGTCAGTAGCCTTAACACAAACTTTCAGAAGCTGCAAAAGGCCTTGCAGTTTTCATGAGTATATTTTATTTCTGACCTATACAAGGCTTTATAGGTAACCCATTTCACAAGCAAGAATTCCATAGAAAGGCATTATTGACAACTCGACTACGATAAAATAACCTGCAAGTCTTTTACAATCAGTACTCACAACTAATTTACATTGCCATAAGAAAATGTGCTTTGCCTGTCAATAACACATCACAAAACACCGAGCTCAAAACAAATAATATTCATAACTACCTAAATCCTTGGGGGGCAAGAACGAATCTCAAAAGGGCACCTTTAAAAACCACTGCAAAGAGGCACAAGAGTGATTAAGGGCATAATCTAGCATATCTGCAGTTCATAGCCCCCCTCTCTACTGATTTGTTTGGTTTGGTTTTTTTAAACGCCTTTTTTCCCAGCGCGGAAAGTTAAACCATTTGCTTGCAGGCTCTCAGGCCACACCAGGACTCGGCGTCAGGGAAGCACCAGTGTAAAGGTAAGCTCCTTCCCATACGAGGGGTAACCTGGCGCCTCGGCGCCCGAGCCCCTTTCCAAGAGCCTGCCCGTCCCTGCGGCAGCGGGGCTTCTCTGACCCGGGACAGGGCAGGCGGGGAGCAGAGCCTGGGCCCGCTGCACCCAGCGCCGCTTGACGGCAGCAGGGTCACAACTCGCTCCTTCTTGCCACCACCTACTCCCGGATCCGCCTGGCGGCCCCTCACAGCGGGAGAGCGCACCAGGAGGACAGCGAGCGGCGCGGCACAGCACCGCCCCACCCGCCCCAGTCCCCCTCCGGGACACCTGTCTCCGCGGCCGTCCTAAACGCCCAGGTGTTGATGACTACAGGCAGGGCGGCGGCTGAGGCTGCGCCCGGTGGCGGCAACACGACGAGCAAAAGGAGCAGGACGACCAGGACCACGACGGCCGGCCAAACCCCGCCGCACCCCGCCGCCATGGCCGCCCGGCCCGGCCCGGCCCCCGCGGGGCCGACACCAACCAGGCGGCGGCGGCGGCGGCGGCGCAGGCGCAGGGCCCGGCCGCGGGGAGCGCTGTGGCCGCGGGCGGGTGTGGTTCCGGAGCTCGGGGGAGTGGTGAGACCGGCCCTGAGCAGCGCTGTCATGGCGAGGGAGAGCTTAAAGGTCCCAGCAAAGACCGAAGTCCAGGGCAGATTAAAATACATTTTGTATTTCATAGAACCATAGAATGGTTTGGGTTGGAAGGGACGTTGAAGATCATCTAGTTCCAACGCCCTCGCCATGGGCAGGGACATCTTTAACTAGACCAGGTTGCTTAAAGACCCATCCTTGGGCATTTTCAGGGATGTGGCATCTGCAACTTGACTGGGCAGCCTGTTCCAGTGCCTTACCACCCTCTAATGACTTTTTTCCTAACATCAAGTTTAACCTACTCTGTGTCAATTTGAGCCCATTCCCCCTTGTCCTGTAACTAGCTGCTCTTGTAAGTAGTCTTGCCCCATCATTCCTGTAAGTTCACTTAAGGTACTGGAAGGCTGCACTTAGGTCACCCTGAAGCCTCTTTTTCCAGGCTAAAGAATCCCAGTTCTCTCAGCCCTGCCTTGTAGGACAGGTGCTTCATCCCTCTTAGCAACTCAGTGGCCCTCCTTTGGACGTGCTCCAACAGCTCCATGTCCTTCCTGTGTTTGGAACCCCAGAGCTGGCTGCAATTCTTGATGTGGGGTCTCACCAGAGCAGAACAGAGGGGCAGAGTTACCTCCCTTGACCTGCTGGCCACACTTCTTTTGATGCAGCTTTTTATTGTGTGTCTGGATGCGCGTTACAGCCAGCCTGCTTGTGGGTGGCCCCAGCCCACTGATGAGATTGCTGGCAGTGCTGGAGTGTGGGTGCTGAGCTGTGGCGGTGTTGGGGGGCTGTGTGTTCGCAGGGCTGTGGGGTAAGGGCTGTCACCTATGCTCATGAGATTCACTTGCAACATCACCTGACACCTTGTTAACATGGATATTTTTGTCAAAAGTGCCCTATGGTACAGAGATGTTTCTGCAAAGGGCATGTTTTGGAACCTACTACAGCGACATAGTTTAGGGAAAAACTTGTGAAAAGCCTTACTTTATAGAAATCATAAAATGTATACCAGGTAATTTCTTAATTCTGCCCCTGCCGTTCCAGCTTCTCGTTATAAACCTTTAGCAATAGTTTAAAGCCATTTGACCCGTTACCACAGCACTCTGACACTTTCCAGGTCTATAGGCTTGCCTGCTGTAAGCGTAATTCACCGGTTTGTGTTCAGGGCTGGTTATTTTCAAGGAGTTGCTGATCATGAAACAGATATTACTTCTGAGCAACATGAAAAAAGGTGACTTTTACTTCTACCAGAAGACATAGATATAAACTACGCTTTTTCTTTCAAGTACTCTTTTGGCCTGTCCTCATTACTCCTTTTCAATATATGATGGCCCAAACTCAATTACACTTTAACAGCAATGTCACTGGTGGTGTATTTGTACTAAGAGGGGATACTTGGATCCAATGTGTGACAAGCTCAGGCTTGTAAGCATGCCTAAATTTTGAATGCACCCAAGCTGGTTTAAAAAACCTGAAGTAATATTATTTTTATTATAACAAAACATTCCAAATACTTTGGAATTAAATGGTGGCCACAAAGGAAATGTATTATCTTTTATTGCAGAAGTCACAAAATAATTAAAATACAGTATTAGGTTGGACTTTACTAATATGATGGCCTTGGTTTCAGCTAGTTCCCAAAAGCAAAACTACAAGTAGCCTAGAGAAACCTTTAGTCAGGTAAATACTGTTAGCTGATTTATTTCTGATATTACAGCTCACATTTCTGTCATGTAGTTTTGTGTAAAGCTGTTAGGCAAGGGAAAAGGGTCAAAGTACAGATACGAATTAATGTTAGCTGAAGGTAAATAGAGGAAAATATTTTCAGGAAATTAATAATAAGTAAAAAGAAAAATATAATCAAATACATTCATAAAATGGATACATGAATATTTTTCAAATACGGTTTTCTTTTGGCAAGATAAAATGGAGTGTTGTGAAAGAAAAGCACTTTAATGTGGATGTCATTCAAATACAAGTATTGACTGTGATGGTTGCATCTGCAGGCTGAGCCTGCACAGCTGTGGAGAGAATGTTTTGTATGAGCTGAAACAGCATAACATTATGCTTTGAGGCTCATGTAGAAAATCAGTTGGTTTGATTGCTGTGGCACACTTTCTAACTGGCTTTCAAATGTGAACGACTTCCTGCTAGAAATAAATGCAATCTTGAGTCTATGCTTTACTGTATACAGTTATTTAATATAATATTTTTTTATGCTGTATGTGAAAACACTCACTAAGCAAACACTACTCTCAGAGACGGTGTATAAAATCAACAGTAAGGTCAATAAAACCCTTGTTTTACATGCTGGAAGCTAAGGAGAATTTGAGCAAAAGCTGTCCAAGACAACTCTGCAAGTCAGTTCTGCTACATCCATCTGGGCTCTTGATTTACCTTCTGTCTCTGACATAACGTATTTTAAAATTGGCCTTTGGGTTTAAAAATTCTTTGTATTTTCATAAAGATTACCTGTTGTATTATACAAGTCCTTCCTTCATCAGCAATGGAAATACACCTTCATCTGTTTATCCCCCAATACTTAATGTTATCTTAGAGACCTTGGCTAAGACAAATGATGATACCAGTAGACTTTTGTCTCTGCTGCTAAAAAACAAATCAGTGTTTCCACAAAGAGAACTTTTGTTCAAATGCATATGCACTGGAGGAATATTCTAGAGAAAAACTTGTATGGACAAGGGATTACCGAGAGGATCTACAACAGACAACACTGACTGAATGGCACTGAGTAATTAATGAAAAGCACAGGAGGAAATTCACCTCTTCTACTGAGAAGGTCTGTTCCTACAGTGGCCAAATTCTGACCTCAATTATATCTGTGTGACCTTATCTAGCACCATCTGTTAAAAAATGCATGCCCAGCTCCTTTTTGCTGTCTCAAATTTTCTGTAAGTGTGCTTTGAAATCTAATTAAGTATCGTAGTTGTATCTGTAATTTGTTTACATTTTTATCTTGATTTTACTTACACTATCTAATATTAACACAAATACATGAAAAGCAAATATGAGAATGATTTTCTTAATAAAAGTAATCAACTGTGTGATTACCACTTGCTAATTAAAATATATTTTTAAATAATGTGTGTTGTGGTTTTCTATTTTAAGTAGATTTGTAGAAGCACTGTTCTCTCAGTTTTTAAAATTCTTTTTTTTTTTCTGTTTCAATTCCTTTTTTTTTTTTGGCTTCTTAGAATACACATGTTCTTTCATTCACTGAATGACACTGGAAAGGATGAAAATATTTATTCATAGTGAACCCCATTCATAGTGACCATCATCTATCTTTCAAGTCTAGTAGGAAGGACCCTTATGCCTTCTCTCATGCTTGAGAAGAGCTATGTGTAAACATTTTCAAAGCTACCTGGTTATCCTCACCTGAATCCTGCATAATGTATAAAATTTGAATCACACAATTATCCAGACCTCTGCTTCCCATACTGTTTTCATGCCTTCCCTAACAATCCTTTTCCATGTGTTATGTGTTCTCTTCCACTTCAACTGTAAGGTCTTTTGGGTACGGGTTGTCATTTCATTTCAAGTTTGTACAGTGTATAGCATCAGTGTGTCCTACCTTAACACTCTCTGATCTTTGACAGTATGTTAATGAGCATTAATATCTATAATGAGAAAAAATACAGATGCTAATTGTAAAACCCAAACAGTCATCAATAATAACAATATTAGTCAAGCTTCCATTGCTAAATTTCCTTTTGCTACTACTTTTTTTAAAAATTCAGATTATAAGTTACAGTAGCTTCCTTTCCTACTGTATAACCTCAAAATAACTATTATATGTCACAGAATAATATGTTCTTACATTATTCTTTTGGTCTATTGTTGCATTCTGTCTGAAAACAAGTTATGGATAATATATTTCCTTTTAGTAATTGCTGTAGTGGTCCAGTGCAGTAATAAAATTGTCATATGGAACATGTAATGGACCACATTACATTGTTGGAACTGTTTTTTTTTATTACAACTCCTTGTAACTTTGTGATATCTTCATAAATGTGATCCACAGCAATAATAAACTTGTTGGACAAATACAGCAAGTTGCTGTTTGTTTCCACCATGTCTGAAAGGTATCTTGACATTGTTAAATGAGCAGACTTAAAGCTTTCAATATTGGAAGGAAGTTAACCACAAACTTATATTATACAAATATTAATTTAGAAATATGACAACTTGCAATGTCTATATCCGTTTCATTTGATTTGAGTATGCCTGCAAAAATTTTTTAACAGGATTCTCACTTAGTTAGGATTATCTTAGCATAGAGGGTGTATCAGTACATGCAACACTGATATTTTCGTGGTTAGAATATGGAAAAACAATTCAGGAGGTAATTTATAGCATATAAGCCCCAACTTTGAATAGAAAACTGTGTGATGTCTGTGCACAGTGCTTTTCCCGAGTTTTTCATCTGTAGTCTTTGTTAGGACACACTAATGCCATTTTATGGTTTTTTTTCAATGTATTCCATTGTACAAATCAACTCCTTTGTTTTGTATTGGTTTCTGTGCCTCTTACTTAAGTTCACCCACATAAAGCTTGCTAAGGTATTACAGCCCCATAATGTTCAGTGTAAACTGAAATTTCAGTTCAACTGTGGTTGAAAAACTTTGAAGGTAGATTTTAAGAATGGTGCTGAGAAGTGGTAAAGAACTAGTCTCTACTCCATGATGTTCGAACTGGATATATACAGCACTGCAGTGTTTCTAAACCACTAAAGAAGTGTATAAATCGGGTCAAAGTCATTTTGAGAATCTATTTCAGCAATGTACTAGCCATTCACTTACTGTCCTTTGCAAGTTCCATTGGACTCTGATACTAACCATGGGGGTTATAACTTTTATTTTATTTATT